AGTTTAGTATTTACAATGCTACACCATTTGTTCAAAATAATTTTTTAAGCTCATTTCCTTTGGGTGTCAGCAGCTACTTTTCCCTTGTGAGGATATTTGGCAGCGCAGGAGTCCACCCCCATTTAATTGATTCATTAATCTCCCAAGTATGTTATTTAAAGGAATTTTGTATTTTTAATGTTTTAGTTTAGGGCAATTAGGTGAAGGTGTCAGTAACAGATGAACCATCCAGCCCCACTGCCAACGGCCTGTTAAATTCTATGAGAAGCTGACAGCTGGTGTAGCTTGATGATGCACCAAGCGGTATTAACATTTAGGGCAGTATGCGCTCAGTGACCAATGCTCAGAAAGCAGGCTGCTTGCATTCCCGGCTTGTGTCACTGGACACATACTACCCTAAATTTTAGTACCGCTCTGTGTACACTCTTGCATGTGTACACCCCTGTCTGCTGCCTTTGAAGCTTAAAGTGGTTGTAAAGTTTTTTTTTTTTTTTTTACCTTAATGCATTCTCTGCATTAAAGTAAAAAAACGTTCTGTAATCAGTCCCTCACCCCAGCCCCCCCCAAAACAAAAAAGTCCTATCTTAATCCATGCTGTGCCCAAGAGCAGCAGCACTGCTCTCTTTCTCTTGCCTCACTGAACATTGACTCCTGCTGCTTTTAATCAAATCTTGAGAGGACGGAGCAGGGGTGGGGCAGAGCTGTGCTATGTGTGTCAATGGACACACATATCCAGGCTCAGGAGGGAGCTCTAAAGAGTGCCACCACAGCAAGTGGCTTGCTATGATGGTACTCAGAAGGGAGGAGGAACCAGGAGTGCCAGTGGGGGACCTCACAAGAGGAGGATCAGGGCTTCTCTTTGCAAAATCATTGCAGAGAGAAGGTACATATAACATTTAAAAAAAAAACAACCTTTAGAATTACTTTAAAGGGGAGCAGCATAGGGTAGTAAAAATTCAGCTCAACTGAGTGTTTTGTCACACTCAAAAGCAAGTGTAATCATAGCCTTAAAAGAGCTGCTGTCTGTTGAATGGCTTATTTATTTATTTTTGGTACATGTCCCCCAATGCATTACCCAGCTATCCGTGCCCATTGTTTTACAATTCCTTGTCTATTAGCCTTTAAAATTAAGAGAATTGTTTTTAACAATTTCTCTCCTAATGACCTGAAAGGGGTTCACATTAAATTTCACAATTTGCATATTTTTGGATCCGTTCCCTGAATGTGCCTTTGAATCAAACCCAATGAAATTCACCCATCACTACTTAAATATAAAACCTTAACTTTCTATTTTTTCTGTGTTATTGGCCTTAACACGTACTTCCATATGTAAAAAGAGTTTCTTTGAATGAACCATAGCTCTCTTTCTCTATATCAATGTTAGTAACAAGGAAGGGACAACTCTATATATAGTATGTACAATCACTCATATTAGTGTTTTTGTTAAATAAATTTCATTAGTCAAGTACACCCTTGATTTAAACACACTTAATGTTAGCCAAGAAAAGCTTCAATTTGAATCTGTATAACTGTTTAGCTTTTCCTAGAAGATGTTCCCTACTAAGAATCTCTAACAAATCAGTAGATGCCTACATAGAAAACAAACCACTGATGATGCAATTTGTGCACACGCTTTGAATTATAAAATGACAATAAATTCTATTTCTCAGCTATCAAAAATTAGTGATGGGACCAAAAGGCCAAGATGAACATTTGCATCAATGAACATTTAATTTCCAAGAACAGAGTCAGAACATTACTTTATACAAGCTAAAACCAACACATGGGAGTTGATTTTCTAAAGGGAAATTGACTGTGCACTTTGCAAGTGTAGTTGCACTCAACAAAGGCATTTGTTCCAGAGCTTATTAAATGAGGTGAAGCATCACTTTTCAAAAAACAGAACCTCATGCAAAGAAAATAAAAATAAACAGTATTTTTGCTTCCACATGATTGGATGAAGAACATCAGCAGAGCTTCCCATAATTTACTAAACTCTAGAGCACATGTTCTTGCAAAGTGCAAATGCACTTTCAAAGTGCACAGTCAATTTGGCTTTAGCAAATCACCCCCCCTAAAGTCTTGTATGTCTCAAAGCACCGTAATTAAATCATACCATTTTTTTTTGGTTTTAGTGATTGGAGTCGAACTAGTTTGAAGCATGTTTAAGGAGACAGTACACAATCTTTTTATTTCTTCTTTTTTCATGTGTTAGGACAACAACAAATATCAATAAATGCTTGTGTAAAGGGAAAAAAAAACAAAAACAAAAAATACAACAACTATTATGTAGTGAAGCTATTTCTACTTGGGTGGACATTCCCATTGTTTAAGAAAACAACAATTTACATGATGAAAAAAAAAATCTGAAACCTTTTAAATCCCATGAAAACTTTAAAAAAGCCTAAAACTACTTCAGACCACCATATGGTCACCTTCCCAATTGACTCCAATGCATTTCACAAAAAAGCAGTACATTGCTCTATTTCAGGACATAAGACATAGAGTTTGATTTAATAAAGGCAAATAGGCTATTCACTTTGCAAGTGAACCTTCAGTTTATAAGGGAAATTTTTTTTTAGCTTAGCGAATGTGGTGATATTCATTTTGCAAAGGTACTTAGCCACCTGCAAGGAAAATAATACAAATCTCTATTTTTGCTTGCACATGGTTGTATGATGTAAGTCAGCAGAGCTTCCTCTCAAACACTAAACAAACAGTCTATTTGCATTCAGTAGATTAACCCTATAGTGTGCTTCTTCTGCATTAAAAAGCCTTCCTGTTAGCAATTTTTTTTTTGAAGGTTCCACTTAAACTGAAATATATCTACACCAAGATCTTTACTGTGTGATCTTTCCAGTGTCACACATCCTCTATTTAGAAATAGATTTCTGCAATCTGCGTTTGCAAGCTGCATCCTCTAATTACACCAATAAAGAGTCAGTCTGCCAGCCTGTCAGTCTGTAGAAGGGGCAATTCTCGGAAGTGAGCAGAAACTGTGCCATGCATGTGTTTGGGTAGCATCAGAGGCATCCCTAGGGTTGGTGTCACCCGGTGTGGTAACACTTGGTGACACCCCCTGCGATGATCCCCGCAAAATGGATCGGATCTGTGGATTGAGCATAATGGATTGGACTCCGATCCATTATGCTCAATCCACAGATCAGATCCATCCTCGGGGATCATCGGCTTTCTTTACAACTTACCTTTTCTTGAAGCGGGTCCGGTGTCACCCCATGCGGTCGGCGTCACCCGGTGCGGGCCGCACCTCCCACACCTGCCTCGGGATGCCACTGGGTACCATACATATACATCACATTGCATAGGTACCATGTGCTATTATCTAAACCCCCACAGGATTGCAGGACAGAAGCTGCATGACACCAATAGTGTCTGGGTGAACTGAGGTGGTGGATAAGTATGAACAGGAGGAAGAGAAGAAGGCAGAACCATAAAACATTCTATAAGCCTTATGACTGGTCCACACATTCAGTTTTTTTTTCATTCAACTCATCGGGCTGAACGAAAAAAACCTGAGTGATCTCCATACTAAGCGATGTTCGTACAGCGATCTCTCCTGCTGTGCCTTTGTGTTCTGACAGGAGGACCCCACCAAAAGACACTAATCAGCACTCACAAGAGGACAGAAGGACAGAAGACCGGCTTCTGTCGGAAAGACATCTGTACACACGGTCCGAATGTTGGCCAGTTCCTGCTGAACTGGCCGATATGTGGACCACGTGTACCCAGCTTAGTCACCCCACCGCAACATTTGAAAAATACAAAAAGCAGTTTCTCCTCTGCAGAACATCTAAATCTACTTTTCAATATTTTCTATTGACTTGTCAACAACTTCAGTGTGTATTTGACCATCCACCGACTTAGAATTGCTATGCGATACTTGTGTGGGAACTGTTTTACCTGCCATAAAATGTGTAATTTTGTTTAGCCAGTTTTCCTATTCAGACACCCCTGCCAGACAGTACACAACACTCTGACTATTTACTTTTCTTCATTGCTGTTAAAGCAGTACTGCTCGATCAAGGCTGTGTTTGGATAGTGAAACAACAGCAACTTGCAGATAAGGTCATCTTGGTGTCCTCTTCCCCAATCAGCAAACACTATTTTTTAGGTTCACATGGTGTGCCATACATTAAAACCTGTTTGAGTACCGCCTCTTCCTCTATCAGTCTGAATACTCTTCAACTCTTTCCAGAGAATCATGTATTACAAGGGAGATCAAGTTTTCAATATATTTATTGCTACACATAAAAATGGAATTATTCATTTTGGATTCATTTACAAATTGTACATTTTTCAAACATTATTTGATGTTGCTTGAGCTGGTATTTCAAATGGACATTCTTCAAACATTTGCTTTTTAATTGGTTAACTTTAGTAAGTTACATCCCAAAGATCAACAATGGAGAAAGGTCATGTTCACTTTTTCCAAAGAATACACAAACTAGCATCATTTTTTCCATGGCCAGAGAGTGATTGCCACTTAGCAATTACGTTTGTGAACAGCATGAGCTCAACATATGTAAATTAGATTTAAAGAGTGACTATATTTATTCTCTTAACATATTCCACAACATTTATTTCCTCACTGCGCTCCATGTTTATTTAAAAAAAGCTCTTTTATGTATTGCCTTTATTTTGTCTTTCATGAGGAAGAGCTAATGACATAGAGTACATAGCCATTAACAAATGATTACTGGTGGTATGCCTTGCTGAAAGTTTTGTTTTACATACAAGGTATATACATACACATTATGTTTAAAATAAAGATAGCAATTTATACATTATTGTGCTCCTAAGGGAATAGTCATAAGTAAACATGAAAAAAATAAAAAACAATTGTAAATCTTTTTTAACCATTATTTTTTTTTTCAATGTGACAGGTATACACTGTCAAGAATAAATATCATCAAGGCTAAGGAAAAATGAAGATGGAGACAACCACAGAAATTGCAAAACAAAGCATAGGTCATCCAAATATGACATCCCTCCATTCCAATTATACAAAGTGTATGAACATCAATATTCCAGAAGAAATTTTCTTTACTATCTCAGCAGTTGGCATTCTGGAAAATGTTCTTGTCCTCATTGCTGTGATCAAAAACAAAAACCTTCACCTACCCATGTATTTTTTTATTTGTAGTTTAGCGGTTTCTGATATCCTAGCAAGTCTGTATAAAATTCTGGAGAGCATTATGATAATTCTGGTCAGAGTTGGTCATCTACAAAAAGAAGGTCTATTTGAGCAAAAGTTGGATGATGTTATGGACTGGTTTTTTGTATTGTCACTACTTGGGTCAATATTCAGCCTGTCTGCTATTGCAGCAGATCGATACATAACTATCTTTTATTCCCTTCGTTACCACAACATAATGACTCTTAGAAGAGCTTGGATCATCTTGGCCACAATCTGGATATTTTGTGGTGGATGTGGAATAGGTATACTGATCAATTTCCATGATACAGTAACAATATTGCTTTTTTACTGTAATGTTCCTTCTGTTGTTAGTGTTTATGGTATGTCTTTATATCCATATGTTCCTTTTAGCCCAGTCCCATGCCAAAAAAATTGCTTCACTCTCAGGTCAATGGAATTCAATGCAACAAAGGACAAACATGAAAGGAGCAATTACACTGACCATTTTACTGGGAGTATTCATTTGCTGTTGGTCTCCATTTTTTGTTCACCTTCTTTTATTCTCATTTTGTCCAAACAATCCTTACTGTGCTTGTTACATGTCAACTGTATATATAAATTGCACCCTCATTTTGTGCAATTCTGTCATTGACCCATTAATTTATGCGTTCAGGAGTCCAGAGTTGCAAAGCACATTCAAGAAAATGCTGTGTTGTTGAGTGTTTTGAAGACTGCAGAGATGTCAACAGGGAAGATGAAACTTAAAGGAAATGGAACACCTGGAACGGTATAATTAACTTACACATATCAAGGGATATATTTATTATGCAGCTTACAAATGTCACTGTAACATTAACTAGATGTGTACAAGTAAAACAAGCAAACTAAATGTCAATTTATGGAAAACATTTCACAAATATATATTTAATGGAATACTGCATAAACAAAGAGCATCTAGACATGTTCTATTCCTCTCTATTTTCGTTAGGTTTTGTTAATTGTTTTGCGTATTTTTGCATAGTTATTTTAATCTTAAAGTGAAACTTTAGTTAAACAGCTAACTTTTTATTTTTTATACAGTAGTGAAAGGTTAAATCCTCTGCCAGATGTTTACTGATTTCTGTGTCCCCATTGGAGAGATGTACCACATTTCCAGTCACAGTAACCATTGTATCATGGCTGTAAGTTAAACTTCCACCTTTAGGCTGCATTCTTCATAAATTCCTAAAAAGAATCCACAAAAAGTGAATTGGAACCTACTCAACAGGGATCCACACAGCAGACTGACTCCTCTACAGTCTATCCACAATTAAAAAAAGACAGAGCTTAAAAAAGTTTCTTTTAACTCAATTTTTTTAAATTTTTTTTTTAAATTTTTTTTTTTTAATTAGCATCAGTAATTTTGGTTTGAGGTCCACTATAACGGTGTGTAAAAAGTAACATTACGGTAATCAAATATATTAACTAGAAAATTAATGTTTTGCCTCTGTGTTTATTCTTGGTGAGGTTGATTTACTAAAACTGGAGAGTGCAAAATCGGGTGCAGCTCTGCATAAAAACCAATCAGCTTCCAGTTTTTTTTGTCAAAGCTTCAATGAACAAGCTGAAGTTAGAGACTGATTGGTTACTATGCACAGCTGCACCAGATTCTGAGTGCTCCAGTTTTAGTAAATCTGTCCCCATATCTTAAAATCTTAAAACTGGATGATACAAACCACAAAAATTATTGTAGTTCTGCACTCATGACGATCTCGTAACTGTATTTTTTTATAATGCAAGTAGTGTAAGAACCTGCATTTGACCTGATATCAGCCTCTTGCAGCCCCTGTACAGCAGGACTGGAATGAAAGAGGAAGAAGCAGTACAAGAAGCAGATCAATTTATGTGCTGGCAAGAATCATGCATAGAAATAAAAGGCAGAGTGATAGAGGAATGATCATTTTGCTGTATCTCCTTTCACTCTCTAGTCACAAGCGGGGATGGGTCTGGGATAACATGGGTTCAGAGGAAGTGGGTTGAATGATGCTGGCTATCAGACTGAGGACATCTAGTGGCAGTAAATAAATCTATGGATTAAAGGTGACTGGCAGCAAAATTTGGTTTTGTTAGTTTAACTGTTAATGGCTATTTATTGTTTTCTGTTTTTGACTGCAGTTTTTTTTATATGGGTTTGGAATATTGTTCAGTAGATAATAGTAAGCTTAACATATACCACACATATTAGTAAACAGAACATCATACCCACTTGCCATTTCTGTTAAAAAGCCTGTTTCACTGACTATGGAGGCAGACTAGCCCCCGTAACACTTTGTTGCCTGCTTATTTTTGTGAAGCTGTGCTGATATCAATTTAGGCTGGCCATAGATGGATAGAAAATTGCTTGAAAATTTGTTTGCATTTGATGAAGATCTTTAGAATGAGCATAAGATTATGCCATCATTGATACAAGTTTTTTTACCCACTTGTTGATATATTGTCATTCATTTACAACATAACAGATGCATTGTTTGTCGATTGATTTCAATATGCAGTATGCACTCATGCTCAGTACAATTTTTTTATATTATTCCCGATCGATTCTTAATCAATTCCAATACTTGCTTTTCAAAATTTGTTCATTCGTACAAAAATAACTCCAACAATTTTCTTGCCATAAATCTTTGCATTTCGAGAAAGCATTTCATACCCATTTTTGAGTGATCTTCTTCCCGTCTATGGCCAGTTTTAGCCATCCTCAGCCTATGCATTTTTTATCCTTTGTTTAGTTTGGATTGTCCAATAAAATGACAGATTTACTTGAAGTTTAATTGAAATGTTTGAATGGTTTATTTATAAAAGCAGCATAGACTGTAGGGGAAATTCCAGTTTTTAGCTGGACCATCATAAAAAACAATAATAATAGTATATTAAGTCCCAAAGTATCAAATTAATAAGTTGTCATACAGCTGAGACTGCTGTACAATGCAGCTGAGAACAGGATCAAGTGATTGACAAGTAAGACTGATCATCCAAAGATAGCTTAATGCAATATATATATATATATATATATATATATATATATATTTTACAATCAGACATAAATAAAACATTTATTAAAATAAATTGAGAACGACAGAGAAATGCATATTTTTTTTCAGTTTATGTTTCCCTGCAAGGGAGACCTCCTTGTTTCCTGCGTGGACAATGGAAAAGAAGAGAGTTGACATCTTTCAAACAGTGAATCCAATAAAGCAATAAAAACTGACTTAAGTTATTACCCTTTCTCACTCTAATCACAATAACAAAAAATTTTTTTACCTCAGCAAGATGATGTTTAGTTTCTTATGCTGCTTTATTGAAAGTAAGTTGAAAAGATTATTCATATTTCAGTGCTTTCCTTTGTTTGACTTTTCAAACTAATTCTAACCTAAAGCCATTTTTGAGTTTCATTAGTGTATACTTTTCTGCACAGTCTATTATATTTTCTATGTTTATCAATACACAATAGCATTGCTTAGAATTTAAAGGTGATCAATCTAACGTGTGGGTTGATGTAATATAGATGAATGGTGCTGGAATTTTCCAATAAGCCTAAGCATATTTTAACCTCTATGTGTTTGTTGCTCATGCAAGCTAATAAAAAATTATATATGCACATATATATGCACGCTAGTCATGTACTAACAGTGTTAAGTGCAGTCATTTATTTTAAAAAAAAGTACTGGGAACTTGTGAGGCTGCATCCATAGACTTTGTACTTTTTGTTTTTTTTTTTTTGGGGGGGGGGGGGGGGGGGGCGTGTGCATGTATTGGGACATGGAGAAAAGATGAAAGATATAAAAAGGAAAAGAGGGGGGCAGGGAGAAAAAGAAGGAGGGTTGGAGAAAGATGAAAGAAAAAAAGGAAAGGGGGGGGAGTAAATAAATAAGAAAATTAGCTCTGTCCTCCTCTTCCAGCAAGAAGATCCCTTGAATTTTCAGCAAAGAAATCAAAGAAGTCAGGAGGAGTTAGAAAATCTCCTATTAACATATCGAAGAGTAGCAGCTGAAAAAGGGCCCTAAGTCTAAGAATCAAAAATCAAAAAGAAAAAAGAAAGAGCCCCTGTAAGGTCACCGAGTTTGCTCTCAAATAGCTATCAGTGGACTTAAAGTGGATCCAGTTAAACCAAGTGGCAATAAATTTGTGCATACATTCATGCAAGATATGAATAAGCCCCTCCATTTCCTCAGTTTTTTTATTCTCAGGAACCATTTCCTGGGATGGTCTGTGAGCGCCAATGGGTTGTTATGCACATTCTGGCTGCATTCACCATGTACATAGCAAGGGATTTGAAGTATTCCTTTCTAGGAAGGTTGTTTGGTGCAATAGATATTGTGTTGGGGTAAAATCCAAAGACAAAGTCGTGACCTGGGAGCTTATGTTATGTACATTGGACCAAAAGGGTATCAAAAGTTCGCAGCTCCCCCAGATATGAAGCATGGTTCCTTCTGTCTTACCACATCTCCAGCGTAGCTAAGATACTATGGGGTAGCATTTATGTAGAATCATTGTACCATTTAGTTCTGACTTTATAAGAATTTTCCTGGACTGCCACATTTAGTGACCCTTTGTGCACAAGCTCATTAAGTTTTTCCCATTCCTCATCTGTGAGTGAGATCTGGAGTTCTCTCTCCCAGGCCCCTCTTGCCCTATCCGATCCAGCAGGGGTAACCATTAGTAGTATAGAGTATATCATGGAGATGGTATTTTAAATCTTTTATTTTTATTTTAATTTGCATATAATGTAACATAAAAATATGATCTTTCTACCTGCTTCTATACCCTGTATCTCCAAATTTGTCCAAATTGATGCTAGAAGAAGCTTCCCAGACAATACAAAAAGCAGCAGTGGGGAGAGAGGACACCCTTGTCAGCTCCCATTATTTGGGAAAAATGGCTATGGTAGAGTTCCATTCACCAGCACTTGGCTTTTGAATATAACGCTTTAACAAATTCTGATCCAGCAACATATCGGTACGTTTCTGGATTAGAAGGGTGATATCTGGGTCATCTCTGCATCTGCAGCAATGATTAAGATGTCATTTTTGGGCTGGTGATTTCTTTCACTGTAAAGGTAATGCTAGCATTTAAAAAGCACATGCATGGCCACTTTTATCCAATCAAGGAGCTTAGTAAATGTGACCAGTGGCAACCTGTTCATGAGACACACTGATAGAAAAGTATGTAATTCATCCCACTTTGTGGGGTGGATTTGGTCTGGAAAACGTGACTGAAAATATGGAAGAGGTAGGGAATTGTCTAATGAACCATAGGCATCATATTGGTGGGAGGGGTGTATATGGTCCCTTGAACTCCAAATTCCCTCTCAGACTGAATATTGATATACACATTTACATCAATAATATTGTCGTTATGTGTATTTACATTTTATTTACTTTTATTCTTTGTTATAATATATATATAAAGGAACAACCAACTGCTCTTTGGATATACACTGTAAATGTTGTGCTTCCTATACAGGACACACAATGTAATAGTTGTATTTGACTACTCGTATCTCCCTGAAAGTCTGCTGACAATTCAAAAAAGGTTGTGACTAATGGGCATCAGTGAGCTTAACCTTTTCAGTTAATGTTACACAGCCAGAAATGCAATACTTTCCCCAAGTGGCTTAACCTATAATCCATTTTCTCACAGCAGCTGTTCTGTAAGTTTTCTGACATCTCTTCAGGATGGTTAA